ATTACAGCCCCAAGACTGAGCCGTAATGAAAAGTACTGACTTGGGCAAGTCCCTCTGGACTCCTCCTGCTGCAGGAGCTTTTCTATCCTCTAATAAATTCCTACTTAAGAAAAAAAGAAAAGTATTGACTTTAGGTGATTATGATGTGTCTATGTAGGTTTACAAATTATTACATTATTACAAATGTACTACCTGGTGGGGAATGTTTATAATGGAGAAGGTGGTGACTGTGGAGTAAGGAGCCCAGTATTGCTGTGAAACTAAAAAAAAAAAAAAAAAAAAGAGACTACTTTTTTCAGTTAATTACCACACATACCACAAAAAGGTGTCTATTAGATATAAGAAAGTTATAATGAATTATCCCCTCTACCAATAGTTTCACAACAAAGTAATTATAAATGCTTTACCTCACTCAGAAACATTTTTTAGTACATCACCTTCAGAAATGTAGAATTGATCATCTTCACCATGGAAGGTGGTTGTGAGCCTTCCAACTGGCAGTGATTTCTTAACCTAGCAATCACATTTCTAAAATTAATTGTAATGAAATAATCAAAGAATGGACATTTTAAATTGTGATACATATCGCATGTTGTCCTCCAACTCAAGGGTACAAAAGCATCCATTTTACTATTTCCTCAACAACTTTGAATATTTTTCATTAAGCTTTTAAAAATGTGAATTTGATAGCCTAAAACTTACAGTAGCCATTTGTCAAAGACCACTCCACGCTATCATTAAATTCTGGGCATTTTTGCAGGTAATATTTATTTCTCTTCTTTAGGAATATTTTCAGAACACATCTGTTTGTACTTCAGTTTGACTGATGTGGGCTGTCTAACTTTCTTTGTTTCTTTTGTGAAGCTGTTATATGGATCTGTGATGAAAACATATTTCTTGAGTCTTGATAACTATGCTGCAATAATCTTGCAGTAAAAGTAGAGTCCTTCTACTCTCCTTTTATTTTCATTAGAAGTGGAGTGATTTTTTTCTAGTAAGAGTCTATAAAGCTAGGCAGCCTTAGCCAAATGCAATGCAATGTGCTCACATGTTTAGACATTTGAAGCTAACCATTTGTCCATTGACCCAAACTAATGTGAACATCTGAATTTTTTTCTTTTTTCTTTTTCTTTTTGCATTAGTATATCACAATAGAGCAAAGAAACTTTTAAAAATTGAGTGAAAAAAAATCACAAAGGGAATATAAAACAGTAAGTCAGGGAAGAAGCATTAATTTAAAACTCACAACATAAATAACAATGTTGGTTTCTAGATTAGCAAGAGAAATATTAAAGGACAAATGAGCCACAAGTTAAAAAAAACTAAGACTAGCATCAAATTAATGAAAGAATTTTCAAAAAAGTAGATGACAATATTATTTGCCATGATTCTCCCTTTTTTTTTCACTCCCTTCTTCTCCCCCAAAAGAAGAAACACTTGCTTGGTGAAGTCAGATTTCAGGACACCTGTGGTGTTCAAGTTTATTTAGTACCACCAAACTGTAATTTTCAATTCTCTTTCCAAAGAGAGTCAAGAAGACAAACAACCCAAGTGAAAAAGAGTTACTGCTGTGGAAAAGGCTTCAGGACAGTTTGTTGTCACTGTTTTGAAATACATTCCATCCTAAGCATCCTCATGAAGATATTTCTGAGCCACCAGAAGGGCTGGGTTAATATGTGTTTAAAGTCCCTGCTCGTGGGTGTGTGTTTTATGGCATCTTTCATTTGTTTATTTATTTTTACTTTTATTTTTTTCAGACTGAAATGGAAAGCAGAAAAGCAGATCCAAGCCTGGTAAGCATTCTCTCTCTCTTTCTCTCTCTCTTTCTCTCTCCCCTCTTTCTTTGACATTCCTTTCTCTTTTCTTCTTATACATGATGTCCAAGCACTTTCATCTTGTTGGATAAAGGTGGCAAGATGTCCACTTATGGATTTGGTAGGAGGAAAGAATGATTTGAGGTTTGTAGTGTAGGGTATGTGCTACAGCTAAATTTCCCCAGAGCTCCTTCTGGGTGTCACAGACATGAGGTGGTATCTTGTTTTCCACTTATTATGGCCCATATGTGGTCATCCCTAAAGGACACTTCATGTGGAAGAGTACAAATAGAAATTATAATTTCTAATTTCATGTAGAAATTATAGTTTCTGGTAATTTTTATGTGTGATAACATCCTTAGCCACAAAGAGCTCTGACTCCTAACAGCGTAACTGGACCAGTCAATGCCTGATATAGGAAAAGCAATAACTAATTACTTCCACCATCTGCAGTAAAACCATGATCATCCAATGGAATGGATCTTACCTATTACTTCATTTATACTATAATTCCACTCGTATCTAATTATGGATTATGGATTTTCAGAAGTGTAGGTAGAGGTTGTCTCCATCATATTTCTGTGTGTAAACAATGAAGCCCGACCCGCTTGCTTCCCCAGTAAACCACAATGGTTCCTATTGTCCTGCCCTGAAGTCACACAAGGCATGGCAAGGGGTTGATGGCCAGGCAACTGCTGCAGAAGAAATTTCAGCCTCAATATGCCATCATTGTCACCACTGAAACAGGTGCAGCATCAAGAATACCCAAGGCGAGGCTATCTGAGTATCCACTTCCAGAAGTCAAGAATGTTTTATTTATATTTTTAACAGGTAACTTTTAGTCTCTCTGATATGTCAATTGCTAGGCCCTATGGAATAAAAGTATGAGCAAAATATTTCTAATTCTCATAGGGGCTTACGTACAAATAGGGGAGGCAGGGTGCAAACAAATAAAACAGCAGGGAGAGTGACACTGTAATATGGAACTGGGAGCCAAATGGGAATGTGAATGCCCTGGTTGAGTAACTTTTAGAGTCAAAACAGCACATTGCTATTAGATTTGGGGTGAAGCAAGCAGAACTATAACCTGCCTCCCCCCTCCCCCGCTAATTGGAATAACCATCTCCTCTTTATCTGCTCTAGCAGACATGGTCACTGTGATATCTTCATTTTGTGCACTTCAAGCTTCATTTCCCTAAACCTCCAGCCCCATTCTCTCACTCTCTCATAGCAAATATACTTACTTCCACCTACAATTTTCAACGATAACATTGCTCCAACTAACCCAATAACAATCCAGCAAAAACTGATGGGGCTGTAACTTTTACCGGATATGGGATGGACTTTAGAGATGGCTTGGATAAGGGCTGTGCCTCTGAGGAAAACTTAACTTTACTGGAGTAAGAGAAAGAAACTGGAATAGAGGAAGACTTGGAGAATAGGAAAAAAGAGTGAGAGACAGTCTCTGAAGACTTAACAAAGCTAAAGCCCAACATTGTGCGCTGGGCTCATAGGGGAGGCTGGTGGTACATGGCTGGCTTGTGACTGATGTGTATACCTTAGCACTGTAAACTACTCCATGAGGTGTGAGCCTGAAGAAGGAGCCAGGATCTTCTTCTGAGCATCTGAAATGACACTTGAAGAACAAATAGAATAAACAGGAAGGATAGCCACCATAAAAGTTGTGGCTTGCATATAGTTCTCTTTTTCATATCTCTCATTTCAGGGATTTTTCACAATTGTCACGTGAACGAATGGACAAAAATAGTACCAATGACAAAAACCCCATTTGCATTTTTCTACTGCTTTATGCTGTATCTGTTATATCAGTCTCTATTTAAATCCTCACACTTTTTTCCCTCCAAAATAGAGGAACTGCAGTGGAATTAATAGTAAATTCCAGCACTACTTTTCATTTTAAACTTTAACTTCACCATCGCACTTTAGGATAATGTTTCCACATAAATTTTGAAAGTGTTTCTCAGGTCTTATAATCAATGTATCAAACAGATTTGAGTTAAGAAGTACCTTTACATATGATCTCTGCACATGAGCATTTGAAGAGACACTATACATTAAGTCACTGGATGGTTTACTGCTAATTATCAGCCTGATGTATTTTTTCTTTCTTTGCACTAAAATACACACAGATTGGAAATTACGGCACACATTTTATTGCTTAGTGATCAAATCTGTAGGATTATTTTTGAGCAAAACAAGTATTTACTCTCCAACATGTGGCTGTGGAAAGGTAGTTTACTGAATGACATCCTCCGAGGTTCAATGGGTGCTTTCCTTCCTGCTTATCATATAGCAGTGTCACATCTGCCCTGATCTGAGATTCTTACAAATATTGCGGGAAAACACTTGTGCTGTGGATTTAGTTGTGAAAGCTAAGACTCTTGGTAATTACTGCACTTGCACTCCAGTTCAAAAAATAAACAACAAGCACACAGTAAGTCACTTCCACGTGAAATGTAAAATGATTCAATATCAGTTACATCGTCCTTTAGAGACAGGAAGCTAGATCTCTCTGAATATTTAAGCAGACATTGGGTCCCTGGCTAAAGGGGCATACATGCTTCATTCTGTTTTATTAATGGTGTTTGGGATTAGTTTGAAATCAGGAAATTTAGTTTGACATGGCTACTTAGTGTTTCCAGAACACCTTAATCCCCATACCTGTAATCCCCCCAGCTCCCAAACTGAATTGTCTGTATGACATATCAGATTGTTTACTTGGGAAGATGACTCTTTCTGTCTTTAGGAAACATGCATAGTTTTCTGACTCAGCACTCACTTGCTTTTTCTCGGAACCTGTTTTTCTCTTAAGGGAGCTTCAACTGTACTTCTGCACAGGAAGGTTGAACAAGCTTTTACTGAATTACTTAAGATTTTAGTGATGATACTTTTTTCATGACTATGCATATATTCTTTAAATATTTCCCCCTTAAATGCTGGTATCAAATTTCTACATTTCAGTGTTGCATAGTGTAATATAAATATTTATTAGAGGTTGCTTAATGAAGCTTTGATTTCTATGCTGCTGAAACAAACCAAGTGTCAAATCCTTAGGAATAACATGAAAGAGACATTGTGAAGCTTTGAATAAAGACTTTTTTCTTTTTTATAAATGTATAGTGCTTACAATCTATAACACAGATTAATATTTCACAGCCAAAAAGTAGCATGACACTAAAGATAATACAGAGATTGAGCATGTTTTCTTATTAAACATCACACACTTAAGTTTATACAATGGATGCTCTCAACCAATGCCCTACACAGAAGAAAAAGCTGAGGCAGAAGTACAGCATTCGGGTTGAATAGAAAGGAAAAGTCTCTGATGCATATTTTTAGTGTGTCTTCCGTCCCCATTTAATATCTGCTAGACAAGTTACAAAGGCCTCCGAGGGGATAACAACAGATGATCTCTTTGAAGGTTTTCCTCAGTTCTTGACTCCGGAGTGCATAAATCAGAGGATCAATGATCGAATTGCACATGATCAGTATGAGATACAAGTTAAAGTGAGACATGAAGCACACACAGTATGGATTCTGGGGGCAAGAGATATAGAATATTAAGTGGAGAAAGAACGGGGCCCAGCAGACCACAAAGACGCCAATCAGTATGGTCAAGGTGATCGCCCCCTTCATATTGGCACCTTGGTGGATGGTGCCAGTGCCTGGGAGGACAGCGATCCTCTTAATGTGCAGCCTGGCCATCAGGAACATGTGGACATAGAGAGAAGCCATGAGAGCCAGCATGGTGAAGAACATGGTGATGAGGCAGATGATAACAGCACTACTGTCCGAGTAAATGATAAACAAAATGCCCGAAACCGTGCAAGCTGCCCAGATGCAACTTATGATGATCCCAACCCGCTTAACCGTCATAATGTTATGATACTGGAGAGCATAAAAGATAGTAAAATACCTGTCCACTGCAATTGAGAGCAGGCTGCAAATTGATGCAAGCAAGGAGCTACAGATGACTGAGTCAATGACATTATCAATATTCACTGTGAAACTCTGTGCATCCGTATCTGTACTGTTTAAGAGGGTGATGACAATGGTTTCTGATCCATTGGAAACGCTTACCAGCATATCGGCCACAGCCAGGCTGCAGATGAAAAAGTACATGGGTGAATGCAGATTCTTGTTCTTGGCTATTGCCACAATCACCAGGATATTTTCCAACAGGCTGATGACACCCAGAGTCACAAACACCTCAGGAGAGACAAAAAGTTGCTCGTAGCATCCACCGTCAGAGTAGCCTTTTCCCAGGGACCCATTGGCATTGCTGTGCAGTCCGTAGCTACTTCGGTTCCAGAAGTGGAGAGAAGTGTGCATCCCATGGTGGTGGGTAGAGTTCACCATGCTGGCAAGAGGATTCGAGACCCACCCCCGAATCAGTTTAGCCTGCTGGTTCAGGGAGACTCAGTGATTTCCTCCCATTCTTTAACAGTCTGAAAGTTATGAGGCATGCCTGCTGTGAGTAAATGTCACAGGCTCTAGAGGTTGAAAGGGAGTTTTTAGTCTCCTTTAGTCTCTGCTCGACATCACTTTAAATCTTTGGCTTCAAAATGTTCATTCTCAGTTGAGACAGTCAGCTGTTTGAGTCTTTGTTCCCACTTCCGCTTTAACTTTAGTCTTATGCACCGGAGTCTTTTCAAAATAATTTTTCGAGTAGCTGCTGTGCGAGAGAGGAATCTGTGTGCACATGCTCACATCAGCTGCCTCTCAGAAGCATCCTTTCCCAGCCCAAGCATTGCTGTGAGTGTTAAGAGCTGTGGGCACCAGCTGCTGATTTTTCTGTGGAGTGTGGAGAGAAAAATTGTTCAGAGTGACTCCTCCTCTGCTTCCTTCTGACCAATCCAAGTGCAGTGGGAGTCCGGGAGACAGGATTATTCTTCAGGATACAAATCTCAGGGCAACACTGATTCAGATGCAGAAGCTTGTGGAGTCGGGAAGCAGGCAGGATGTGAGAGACTGAATTTCCCTTTTTAAAGTTTTCAAGTTAAACAACTTGATCCTTAGAGGACATTCTGTGATATCAAAGCGAACTCTATCATGAGGCAGCTGGGTTCCTCCTTACTTAAAAGAGAGACGTGTGTGTGTGTGTGTGTGTGTGTGTGTGTGTGTGTGTGTGTGAAAAGAAATGGAAAAATACACAGTTCTACATTCCTAGAATAGAAACACTGCCTTTTTTGGCCAGGATACTGAATTTATTTACCCTTTTAATTTCTTTGAATTAAAAAAATTGCAGGCGACAATGCTTCAATTTACAATACCTGAAACACCAGGAGTATATTTAATAATATAGCCATGCTATGGCTGGAAGAACAACATAGGTAGCTACAATTTGTCAAGAAGTTCAAGAAGCGCATTTTTATACATTAATATCTGATATGTCTTCATTGAGGTGTTTCTGTTGTCATAACCAGAAATTTTTTCTTTCTATTCCCAATATGTAAAACTCATATATAGTATGAATGTAACTATGTTTACTCTGAACTCATAAAAAAATTCAACAGTTAAGCAACATTATGTCTTGTTTTTTTTTTTTAAGGTGTGGGATATAATTCAGGATTAGGTAAACAAATGGTCATCATTCAAGTAAACTTTGGGCCTCCCTTTGGTCTCCACTTCACCCGGTTTGATATCAGGTACCCTTATTGTTATTTTTTTTAAAAATTTTATTTTAAAATTGTGGGGTACAGTTAAGGGTGAGGTATACAAATATATGTTCCTCTCTGGCAGTGTCACACTGCTGCCAGTCCCTCTCTTAAAAAAAAATTAGTAAATTAATTTTATTTTTATTTTATTTATTTATTTCTTTTTTTAAGTTGAAGTCTCACTCTATCGCCCAGGCTAGAGTACAGTGGCATGCTCACGACTACCCCAACATTGACCTGCTGGGCTCCTGCGATCCTTCTGCCTCAGCCTTCCAAGTAGCTGGAAGGACAGGCATGTGCTACCTCGCCTAGGGATTTTTTTTTTTTTTTGTAGATATGAGGGCTTGCCAATTTGCCTGGGCTGGTCTTGAACCCATGGACTCATGCAATTCACTCACCTCAGCCTCCCAAAGTGCTGGGATTACAGGCTGAGCCACTGAGTCCCAGCCTGGCCAATTAATTTTATTTTAAAGATGTGAGGTACAATTCAGGATTAGGTATACAAGTGGTTATCGTACAAATAAAGTTTGGGCCTCCCTTTGGTCTCCACTTCACTTGGTTTGAGATCAGGTACCCTTATTGATGCTATGTGTTACCTCCTTCCTCCCCTGTTAGTTTCTAGCTACTGCTAATCTTTTAAAAATAGTATTATGGTAAATGTTCAGGATCTGCTTATGAGTGAGAACATATGGTACTCAGTTCTTTGTTTCTGTTATAAATCACTGAGTAGTATAGACTCTAAATCCATCCAAGCTGCTGCAAAGTCCATAATTTTGTTCTTCTTATGGCTGCATAATAGTCCATCGTGTATATGTACTACAATTTTTTTATCCAGTTCAGTGTCAATGGGCAGCACGGTTGGTTCCATGTTTGTGTTATTGTGAATAGTGCTGCCATCAACATGCGTTTGTAGGTATCTTTTTTTTGTAGAATGATTTGAGTTCCTCTGGGTATATTCCCAGAAGGGGGCATTTCTGGGTTGTATGGAAGGTCAATTCAATTTCTAATTCTTTTAAAAATCACCACGCTGTTTTCCATAGAGGTCGAACTAGTTTGCATTCCCACCCACAGTGTAGAAGCCTTCCCTTTTCTCTGCATCCTCACCAGCATCTGTTGTTTTTTGTTTTATTAATGAACGGCTATTCTTACTGGAGTTAGGTATCTCAGTGTGGTTTTGATTTGCAGTTCTCTGATGATTAGCGAGGCTGAGCATTTTTTCATGTGTCTGTTGGGTGTGCCTATGTCTTCTTTTGAGAAGTATCTAGTCATGTCTTTGTCCATTCTTTAACGGGGCTGTTTTTTTCTTTTAAGCACGTTTGAGTTCCTTGTAGATCCTGGATGTTAGGCCTTTGTCAGATTTGTAATTGGCAAATATTTTTTCCCATTCCGTGGACTGTCTCCCTGCTCTCTTGATGGTTTCTTTTGCTTTGCAGAAGCTTTTCAGTTTGAAGAGTTTCCACTTGTCAATCTTATCTCTTATGACACGGGCTTTTAATGAGGAATTGGTTGCCTATTCCGATTTTCGTAAGAGTGTTGCCTACATTATCTAAGATTATTAATATCTGAGGTTTTACGTTTAGGTCTTTGATCAACTTGGAGTTGTCAATTCCTTTCTTCTAGTATGATGGTAAATGGTCAGTGTTCACTTATGAGAACATGTGGTACTCAGTTCTTTGTTTCTGTGATAGATCACTGAGTATGATAGACCCCAAATCTATCCAAGTTACTATGAAATCCATAATTTTTCCCTTTTGCTTTCAAGACACATTTTTTCTTCTTATTTTTTTTATTCCACAACTGAAGGCCTTGTAAATGAGACCTATGAATATCTTGGCGACTTAACTTATTTTTGCTAAGACTATTAAATATTAGTTACTTATGGGAGCTTCTGAAAATTTTGCTTAAGCTGGATTTGAACGATTGCAGTCAAGTTACTTTCTAAATTAATGAAACTCCAGGTTATGCCATTTTGTATAATACTCTTTTCTCGCTATGAGCATTGTTACTTTTGGAGCTAGTTTTTCATCGTTTTTTTCTTTATGTTAATATAGTTTTCGGCTACAGGGATGCATTGTATAGTGGCAAAAAATCTGGGCTTTATATGTATTCCCCCACCACCACCTACACACATTGTACCCAATAGGTGATTTTTTGATCCCTCCGCCCTTTCCCCCTCCCCCTTCTGGGTTTTCAGTGTCCATCATGCCATTCTCTATATTTTTGCAGATCTTTGGTTTAGTACCCACTTATAAGTGAGAACATGTGATATTCGATTTTCTGTTCCTGAGTTAGTTTACAAAGGATGATGTTCACCAATTGCTTACAAGTTGGTACAAAAGACATTATTTCATTCTTTTTGATGACTGAACAGTATTCCATGATCTATACATACCACATTTCATTATCCATTACTCAGTTGATGGGCACTTAGGCTGATTCCACATCTTTGCAATTGTGAATTGTGCTGCCATGAACATGTAAATTTTTTTTTTTTTTTGTATAACAACCTTTATCCTTTTGGGTAGATATCTAGTAGTGGGATTTCTGGATCAAATGGTAGATGTATGTTTAGTTTTTTGCAAAATGTCCAACCAATTTCATAGAGGTTGTACTAATTTACACTTCCACCAACCGTGTGTGAGTGCCCAGCGAATGCCAATCCCAGCTAATGTGACTATTCAGGGCCTTAATGATGGCCATTCTGACTGGTACAAGGAGGTATCTGACTGTGGTTTTAATTTCCATTTCCCTGATGATAAGTGATACTGAGCATTTTTTCATGTGTTTGTTGGCCATTTGTGTATCTTCTTTTGAGAGATGTCTGTTTGTATTCATTGCCCACTTTTTAATGTGATCATGTGCTTTTTTTCTTGCTGATTCGTTTGAGTTCTTTGTTCTGGATATTAGTTCTTTGCCAGATGTATGTTTGTGAATATCTTCTCTCATTCTATAGGTTGCCTCTTTGCTCATTGATTATTTCTTTTTCTATGCAGAAGCATTCTAGTTTAATTAAGTCCCACTTATTTATTTTTGTTTTTGTTGCATTTTCTTTTGGTTTTTAGTTATAAATTCCTTGTATAGGCCAATGTTCAGAAGACTTTCTCCTAGGTTTTCTTCTAGGATTTTTATGGTTTTAGGTCTGACATTTAAGTCTTTAATACATCTTGAGTTAATGTTTGTATATTGTGAAAGATAAGGATCAAGTTTCATTTTTTTCTGTATGTAACTATCCAATTTTCCCAGTAGAATAGGGTGTCCTTTTCCCAGTTGAATATGATATCCTTTTCCCAGTGTATATTTTTTGTCTGCTTTGTCAAAGATCAGTTGTTGTAGGTATTTGGGTTTGATTCTGTTCATGTGCCTGCTCTTATATGAGTACCATTCTGCTTTTGTAGTATAATTTGAAGTCAGGTAATATAATGGCTCCAGCTTTTTCTTACTTTTTCTTTTTTTGCTTTGGATCTCTTTTGGATCCATATGGATTTTAGTATTGTTTTTTCTAATTCTGTGAAAAATGATTTTGGCAGTTTGATAGGGTTTGCATTGAATCTGTAGATTAATGTTTATTTTTCCAATCCATGAGCATGGGATTTTTAAAAATTCATTTATGTCCTCTACAATTTCTTTCATTAGAGTTTTGTGACTCTCCTTACAGAGATTTCTCACTCCTTGGTTAAATATATTCCTAGGTATTTGAACTTTTTGGCTATTGTGATTGAAATTGAGTTTTTGATTTGATTTTCAGCATAGTTGCTACTAGAGTTTAGCATTGCTATTGATTTGTGTGTGTTGACGTTGTATCTTGAAACCTTACCAGATTCATTTATCAAGTCCTGGAGTCTTTTGGAGGAGTCTTTAGGATTCTCTAGGTATACGATTATACTGTTGGCATACAGAGACTGTTTTATTTCTCCTTTTCGATTTGAAAACCCTTTATTTATTTCTCTTGCTTGACTAGTCTTGCTAAAGCTTCCAGTGTTATGTTGAATAGGAGTGGTGAAAGTGAGCATCCTTGCTTTGTTTCAGTTATGAGGGAAATGAGTTCAACTTTTCTCTGCTCAGTATGACATTGGCTGTGGATTTTTCATATAT